ATATATATATATATATATATATATTTAAAGATCTTATTTATTTGAGAGGCAGAATTACAGACAGGGAGAGGGAGAGACAGCAAGGTCTTCCATCTGCTGATTCACTCCCCAAAAGGCTGCAATGGCCAAAGTTGGGCCGAACTGAAGTTAGGACCCCAGAGCTTCTTCTGGATCTTCCATGCAGGTACAGAGCCCAAGCACTTGGGCCATCTTTCCTAGGCCACTAGCAGGGAGCTGGATTGGAAGTAGAGCAGCCGAGACTTGAAGTGGTGCCCATATGGGATGCCAGTGCCATAGGTGGAGGCTGAACCTACTAAGCCACAGCACTGGCCCCAAAAGAATTATGTTTAAAAAGCCAAAATTCACTGAAAGAATTAAAGTGTTATGCACATTAACTACTATCTAAGCAACATAAAGCTTAAGTAGAATAACTTCTTGGCACATACTCGCATTGTTTAGTCAATTCTTATTTAATGGCTAATATATCCGAATTTATGATAATCTTTTTCCTACAGACTGTAGCATTGAATTAATAATTAAATTGAATTAATAATTAATATTATTATTATGGCACTGTGGCTTAGTAGGCTAAGCCTCTACCTATGGCACTGGCATCCCATATGGGTGCCAGTTCCAGTCCTGGCTGCTCCTCTTCTGATCCAGCTCTCTGCTTATGGCCTGGGAAAGCAGTGGAAGATGGCTCAAGTGCTTGGACCCCTGCATGCCTGTGGGAGATGCAGAAAATGCTCCTGGGTACTAGCTTTGGATTGGCCCAGCTCCAGTCACTGCAGCCATTCGGGGAGTGAACCAGTGGTTGGAAGACCTTTCTGTCTCTCCATGTCTCTGTCTGTAACTCTCTCTCTCAAGTAAATAAATAATCTTAAAAAATAATTAATAAATAATTGGACACATGCTAAAATCAAATTCTCTAAATGAATATTCTCAAAGGTTTTTCTTTTGTGTGTCCTTGACATTACAGTAAGTATTCCATTTCCCAAATTTTCATACTCAGGATGTTTCCCTTACTAGTGTTTTTACCAAACAAAATTCATGAGACAGTTGTCTTTGAGATTTATCTCATTAAAAATAGAAATGTCGGCTGGCGCCGCGGCTCACTAGGCTAATCCTCCGCCTAGCGGCGCCGGCACACCAGGTTCTAGTCCCAGTCGGGGCACCGGATTCTGTCCCGGTTGCCCCTCTTCCAGGTCAGCTCTCTGCTGTGGCCAGGGAGTGCAGTGGAGGATGGCCCAAGTGCTTGGGCCCTGCACCCCATGGGAGACCAGGAGAAGCACCTGGCTCCTGGCTTCAGATCAGCGCGGTGCGCCGGCTGCAGCGGCCATTGGAGGGTGAACCAACGGCAAGGAATGACCTTTATCTCTGTCTCTCTCTCTCTCTCTCACTGTCCACTCTGCCTGTCAAAAAAAAAAAAAAAAATAGAAATGTCATAGTACATTATTTCCACCCGTCAAGGTTCTCCTAAGCAGTGTTGGAGGATGGAGTCAGATATCATGTGCTTAGTTTTAGATGCCACGAGTGAGATGTCAGACATCCTCTGGGTTGGCCTGTTGAATACACACAGTGGTGTGTAAGTCTAGTGTCTGTGGGAGACATTTGGTCTGATGATAGACAGACATGTGCGTTCATCAACATATAACTGGTTTTTATAGCCTTTAAGGTGGATGAGAGCAGTGATGGAGTTGAAAAACTGAGCCCTGGGATCCTCAAACATTAAGTGGCCAGAGATCTGAGTACAAAGGTAGACACAAACAAAAATAGGAAAAAGCATTAAGAGATCAGATGACTCTGTTGGTCTGGAAGCCAAGGGGAAAAAAAAAAAGTAGATTAGGACGATGAGATTATGAGTCTCAGATATTGGTAGAGTCCCCCAAAAGATAAAAATTAGGAACTCATCATTGAATTCAGTATTTGAGAAGTCACAGGTCACACTGATGAGTTGTTTTAGTAGTGGAGGAAAGATTGAAACTTTGATTCAGGTGCATTTAAGAGAAATCCTTGTGATGCAGCCAGGGTAAGCCACTGGGATGCTCACATCTCATATTGCAAGGGGATCGAGTCCAGGTTCCGTTCCTGAATTCGGCTTCCTATTAATGTGCACCACGGGAAGCAGTGGGTGATATCTCAAGTACTTGAGTCCCTTCCACCAGATATAGGTGGAAGATATAGATATATGTAAATATAGATATATGTAGGCCAGATATGATTCCTGGTTCTCAGTTTTGACTTGGCTCAGTCCTGGATGTTGCAGAGTGAGTCAGTGGGGAGAAGATTACTGTCTCCCCTTCTTGCTCTGCCTCTCAAATAAAAATAAAATTAAATTAAAAATACTAAATAAAGACATAGTGGAAACTTGGAATGAGACTCAGTACTGAGAGAAAATGGTTGCAAGGAGTTTTGCAGCACAAGGAGACTGTGCTGGACGGGACTGATGGATATTCACATGCAGAAGAATGAAGTTGGTTCTGCTTTGCCCAATACATAAGAATTAAGTCCTAATGGGTCACAGACTGAAAATATCACAGCTAAAATTACAAAACACTTATAAATAAACAATAAATTTTCTCAACTTTTTATTAGGCAGATTCTTAGATATTATACCACAGGGCAAGCAACAAAATGAAAACAGGTTGGACTACATCATAATTAAAAATGTGTATGCTCCAAAGTAGATAAGTTCTAAAGTAAAAATACAACCTCAAAATAGGAAAAAACAACTTTGCTACTCATATAACTGATAAGGCAGTTCCAGCCTGAATAAATAAACAGTTCTTAAAACTCAATAATACAAGAACAAATAACCCAATTTTAAAGTTGGGTCAAAATTGTGAATAGACATTTCCCCAAACATGATATGCAAATAGCCAATAAGCACATGAAAAGATATCCAATGTCATTATTCTGTAGGAAATGCAAATTAATATGATGAAACACCACTTCATACTTATCAAGATAGATAATATAAAAGATAACAAGGGTACAGCACATATTGGCAAAGATGTGAAGAAATTGGAATCCATATGTGTTGTCGGTGACAAAGTAAAATGCTGCAGCTTCTTTGGAAAACAGAAAACCTACTTGTAGGAAATATATGAAAGGGAAATATAAACATATGTCCACATAAAGTGTTGTACACAAATGTTCACATCAGCATTAATCATAATACCTAAAGGTGGAAATAACCCAATGTCCACCAATTGATGAATGAAACAATACAATTCAGTGTATCATTACGGCACAACACTATTCAGCAGTGAAAAGGAATAACACACTGATATATATTCCAGCATGAACTTTGAAAATCCATCCTGAGAAGACCACATGCCATGTGAACCTATTTACATACAATGTCCAGAGTGGGGAAATTTATGAAGACATTGATTTTTTTTAAAGATTTATTTATTTACTTGAAAGTCAGAGTTACACACAGAGAAGGAGAGGCAGAGAGAGAGAGAGAGAGAGAGAGAGAGAGAGAGAGGTCTTCTATCTGCTGGTTCACTCCCCAGATGGCCGCAACGGCTGAAGCTGCGAAAATCCGAAGCCAGGAGCCAGGAGCTTCTTCCGGGTCTCCCACACGAGTGCAGGGACCCAAGGACTTGGGCCTTCCTCTACTGGCTTCCCCAGGCCACAACAGAGAGCTGGATTGGAAATGGAGCAGCCGGGACTTGAGCCAGCACCATATGGGATGCCGGCACTGCAGGCGGTGGCTTTATCTGCTATGCCACAGCTCCGGCCCCAGACGCTGATTTTTAATTTACCTATATTTCCAGTTGTGTAGGTGCCAGGAGTGGATGAGAGAGAAAGAAGAGTGACTGTTGACGGGCTCTGGGTTTCTCCCTGTGCTGATAAACATGTTTTCTAATCAATTGTGGTGATATTTACTCCATGAAACGTCAACAAGCACTGAACACTTCAAAAGGTTTAATTATACAAGTCACTGTATATTTCAATAGAACCCTTAAAACTGTTCTGTAAGTCTTCTGAAAGTATACATATTAAAAATAAAAGAAAATAAAGGAAAAAATTACCGTGGCTCAGCCTTCTACATTTATCCTGACTCTTTACTTCTTACCACCTGTGTTGCTGCCATCTTAGTTGAAGCCCCCACTACCTTGCTTGAAGCATTTCAGAACCTCCGAGCCCACCTTCTGGATTCTCTCCTTGCCCAGTTTCAGTCTGTTTTCCTGTGCTTGGAGTGATCCTTTTAAAACTTAAACAAGGTGTTGGCATCATGGCACAGCAGGTTAGTCTTCCACCCATGATGTCAGCATGCCGTATGAGCATTGGTTCATGTTCCGGCTGCTGCACTTCCGATCCATTTCCCTGCCAATGCACCTGGGAAGGCAATGGATGATGACCAAATTACTTAGGCCGAATTACTGCCACCCACATGGGAGACCCACAGGAAATACCAGTATTGTGGCTTCGGTCTGGCCCAGCCCTGACTATTGAAGCCATTTGGGGAGTGAACCAGTAGGTGGAAGATCTCTGTCTCTCTGTCTCTTCCTCACTCTCTGTAATTCTACCTTAAAAAAGAAGAAGCAAAGAAAAAGTAAAATCAGATTGTGAGTCCTTTCAAAACAAATAAGTAACAACATATGACTCTGTGTTTACCCTGGCCTAGAGTATTTCCTGTAGCTGTAGGGAAAGTGCCTCACACCCAGAGTTACACCTTGCATTAGTCACACAGAAACATTTCTCTCATCTTTTGGGCCCTGACTTTTACCTCTGTGGGTGCACAGCATCAGGGGAGGGACATATCTCTACCTTCCTCCATCACCACCATGGCAGCCCCAGGCAGTCAAAGCTCAGCCTGAGTTCTGATCCCAGAACTAATGAATTTGGATCTGAAATCTAATACACTTTCTGCAAACTGGTTTCTCAATGAAATAACATATCGCTTTATCTCTACTTAGTATCCCCTTTCTAAAGGACTCTAAGACTAATATTTTGGCATAAACTTGGGAAGCTTGAAGCGTCTTGGGTAGCGATTTTGATATATTTTATTTAAAAAGGAGGAACTTAAGAACTAGTTGTAGGGCCGCAGGACCCGTGGTTCCTCACATGACCTCCAGGGGGCGATGCTGCACAGACACCAGGCCTCATTTCTGCAGAAGACCCTCATCCTTCCTCAGCTCCTCCTCCCTGCAGCTCTGGGAGATCTTTTACAGACAAGTGGTGAGAATCTGAAGTGAGAAAGCATCCAGCCTCATTTTAGCAGCGTTTCTGCGTTTATCTAAGAGAGGAGCTTGAGCATCCTAACTGACCCCTGTTTCCAAGGTCTTGTCCGCGGCCACTCTCCTGCCTGCTCTCGGGAGATCTTCCAGAAAGAGCCTGCAGTGTTTCCACGCCTCGGCCATGCTCCTGGTGCTCATCCCGGTGCTAGGGCTCCAGTGGGCCCTGAGTGAGTAAAGTTTCTCTGTGGTCTCAGCTTCCACAGGTTCTGGCCGGAAACGCTTACTTTTCACGGGGAACCCGGCACTGCGCTCATGGCCCGCATTGCTTTTCCAGGAGACACCAGAGCCCAGACCGTGACCCAGCCCGACGCGCAGGTCGCTGTGTCTGAAGGAGCCGCTGTGGAGCTGAGGTGCAACTACTCCTATGGGGGGTCTGTTTCTCTCTTCTGGTACGTCCAGCACCCCGGCCAAGGCCCCCAGCTTCTCCTCAAGTACCTGTCAGGGAATGCCTTGGTTCCCGGCATCAGAGGCTTTGAGGCTGAGTTTAAGAAGAGCGAGTCTTCCTTCCACCTGAGGAAAGCCTCAGTGCAGGGGAGCGACGCGGCCCGGTACTTCTGCGCAGTGACTGCCACAGCGCCTGGGCCTGCAGGGGGAGCCGGACACAAACCTCCGAGGAGCGGAGATCTGAGTCCGGAGCTCTTCCTGTGGTTTTTTTAAAAAAATTTCATGTTACATTTCTGCAAATGAGCTAACAAGGGCTGGGCTGACCCAGGTACTTCTGTACAATTCAGTTTCTGCTGTGCCCCAGGTCTCAAACACTTGGTTTCAGAAGCTTCCTTGCTCATTGTAAAACCTGCATAAAGCCAAGGAGTGAGTCAGCGTTCCAGAACGAGGGAGGAGACGGGGTTCTTACCGCGTAATAACCACGTAATAACCACGGCACAGGGCTTGACCTGGGCTTGGCTGCCCGGAGAGGTTGGCTGTTATGGTGGGTCAGGGCCTAGGGGAGGCTGGGTTTTTAGTCATCATTTTATGATTCTCTGCTACTGAAGAGAAAGAGAATGAAGATCTAGAATTCATTAACTAGTGTTTCCCCAAACACCCTTTTTACAGCTGTGAAAATAGTTTCCTCTTTTGGCATCTTAAATTCTGCACATCTTCGTAAGAAATTTGTGGATGTGATCCTCTTTTTTTTGTACCTAGTGATTTTTTTTCTCATTGCTTTCATCCTGTTCTTATGATTTCATTGTTAGAATATTGAACATTGATCTTTATATGTTGACACTGTGTAATCAGCTGTGTGATGAGTTCAGTAATGACAGTATCTTCTAGAAATCCTGGTAAGAATCGCAACTGGCAGCACACTGAGGTGCCACGCCTGAACTGCAGTTTGGATGCCTGCATCCAATACTGCAGTGTCTGGGCTCAAGTCTCAGCTTCTCCGCTTCCAATCCAGCACCCACGTGAGGGACAAGGATGGAGTTCTGAACTCCTGGCTTTGGCTTGGCTCAGCCATGGCTGTTGTGGTCATTTGGGGAGCAAACCAGAAGACAGAGGACATCTTTCTGTATCTCTTACTCTGTCTTATAAATAAATAAAGAAGTAAATAAATAATCACTGGTCTCAGTAGAAATGGAAGACTTTCTTGTGTCTGGTATAGAAAGTACTGGATACAAAGCTTTTATGCTTTTGTGAACCTGAGGCCTTGGAGTAAAACAAATGGGAGAGGAAGAAAAGGACTGTTTCCTGCTGCTCTTTGGCTCACATTAAAATATATGAGCGGGGGCCAGCTCTGTGGAGGGTTAAAGCCCTGGCCTGAACCGCCGGCATCCCATATGGGCACTGATTCTAGTCCTGGCTGCTCCTCTTCCGATCCAGCTCTCTGCTATGGCCTGGGAAAGGGGTAGAAGATGGCCTAAGTCCTTGGGCCTCTGCACCCACATGGGAGACCTAGAAGAAGCTTCTGGCTCCTGGCTTCAGATCGGTGCAGCTATGACCGTTGCAGCCATTGGGGAGTGAACCAACGGACAGTAGACCTTTCTCTCTATTTCTCACTCTCACTGTCTGTAACTCTACCTCTCAAATAAATAAATAAAATCTTAATAAAAAAAGTACTGGATACAAAGTTTTATGCCTCTGTGAACCTGAGGCCAAGGAGTAAAACAAATGGGAGAGGAGGAACAGAACCATTTCCTGCTTCTCTTTGGCTCACATTAAAATATATGAGCGTAATTGCTGTAAACCGCCCAAAAATAGAGAGTCAAAGTAGATTGTGGCCAATGGTAGACATGATAGATTGTGGCAAATGGTAGACATGAGCTAAATAGCAAACCAGGGGATTATCAGTACTTTTTAGGACAGACTGATATCATGATATGTGTTTCAGTGATTGCTGAAGGTGTTTTAAGGACAAACAGGTAGTAAAGACACAAATTATGAATAGGTCTATGAGTGGTCTTTCAGTGTCCCCATTTCTCACTCTGCTTCCCTTTCAACTTCTGGAGCACAGTCTTTTTGTTTTTTCTTTTTCTTTCTTTCTTTTCTTTTTCTTTTTCTTTCTCTTTTTTTTTTTTTTTTGACAGGCAGACAGTGAGAGAGAGAGAGACAGAGAGAAAGGTCTTCCTTCCATTGGTTCACCCCCCAAATGGCTGCTATGGCCGGCGTGCTTCGCCAATCTGAAGCCAGGAGCCAGGCACCTCCCTCTGGTCTCCCATGCAGGTGCAGGGCCCAAGCACCTGGGCCATCATCCACTGCCTTCCCGGGCCACAGCAGAGAGCTGGACTGGAAGAGGAGCAATTGGGACAGAATCTAGTGCCCTGACTGGGACTAGAACCCAGGGTGCCAGCGCCACAGGCGGAGGATTAGCCTAGTGAGCCACGGCGCCAGGCTGGAGCACAGCCTTGACCACTTTCAGTAAGATGGCTAATTTCAAATCAGCTATTAACATCAGTTCAGCCACATTGCCCAAAAGGGCTATGGTAGACACTTTCTGCGGATTTGTGTGAGAAGAACTAGTTTATCTTGATTCCGTACTCAAGATTATTATTGAAGAACAAGTAAGTTCTACACCAAGAACCAGAAGCAGAGTGTAGCTGCCCCAACTCCAAGTCTGCCCAAGATATCAAAGTAATCTGCCCACTCTCCCCCCCTAAATACTTTTTTATGATTATGTGAGAATTCTCTACAATAAAGAATTATATTAGAAAAGTAGAAATCCTGAGTTACATTACCAATGAAATTAATGCTTCTGACTTTCTCCAGAAGCTCTGATTTAAAAAAAAAAAAGACTTTATTTGTTTACTTGAAAGTCAGAGTTACAGAGAGGCAGAGGCAGGGAGAGAGAGAGATTGAGGTCTACCATCTGCTGATTCACTCCCCAGATGGCTGCAATAACTGAAGCTGCTCCAATCCAAAGCCAGGAGCTGGGAGCTTCCTCTGGGTCTTCCCATGCGGTTGCAGGGACTCAAGGACTTGGGCCACCTTCTGCTGCTATCCCAGACCATAGCAGACAGCTGGATCGGAAGTGGAGTAGCCAGGACTCGAACCGGTGCCCATATGTGAGGCTGGCACTGCAGACAGCAGCTTTACCCGCTACGCCATAGTGCCGGCCCCTGATTTTCAATATAATCACCTGACCTCACCACATATTCATCACCCAGAAACAGCCAGTCTAATTGACAGATGGAGTGACGTACAGCAGCCTGAATTACCGTGACAGCTGGAGAAACATCCTGAGAGGATGGGCTTTTGTTTCACAGAATCCAGCAGGTGCTTTGCTGGGAGACCATTATACACTGACATCTCCCACATAGCTGAGTACATCAGTCCAGGAATCAAAAAATGGTGTGGGATCATTTTCTCTCAGTTTTACACCTAATAACCCACAAAAAAGATTGTAGCTTCCCATCCTGTCGCTTTATACTGTATTAATTCGGAAATATTAATCTGTAAGGGAAGGATTCTCCCAGAAGTGGACACAGACTTGGTTTTAGTTAATGGATATGAGATTATGTCAAGGATATTTTGGATTCCTTCACCACTGAAGGGAGGTAGTAATTGATCCTAATTATGAAGTGGAAATTGTGGTGTTTTCACGTCATGAAAACAAGAAATACGTTTGGAGGCTCTTAGAACTTGCATGTCCAATTGTGAAGCTTAATTGAAAACTACAGCAGCCACAAAGAGGTAGGACAATGGATGACTCAGATCTTTCTGGAATTGTTGTATTTTGGAGTAGCGAGTTACAGAAGACACCAAAATCTCAGGGCAGAATTATGGAGTCTGTCCTTCCTTCCTTCCTTCCTTCCTTCCTTCCTTCCTTCTTCCTTCCTTCCTTCCTTCCTTCCTTCCTTCCTTCCTTCCTTCCTTCCTTCCTTCCTTCCTTCCTTTCTTTCTTTCTTTCTTTCTTTCTTTCTTTCTTTCTTTCTTTCTTTCTCTCTCTCTCTCTCTCTCTCTTTAAAAAAGATTTATTTTGTCCAGTGCCATAGTTCACTTGGCTAATCCTCTGCCTGCGGCGCCGGCACCCTGGGTTCTAGTCCTGGATGGGGTGCTGGATTCTGGCCCGGTTGCTCCTCTTCCAGTCAATGTCTCTGCTGCGGCCCGGGAGGGCAGCGGAGGATGGCCCAAGTGCTTGGGTCCCTGCACCTGCATGGGAGACCGGGAGGAAGCACCCGGCTCCTGGCTTCGGATCAGTGCAGCACCGGCTGTAGCAGCCATTAGGGGAGTGAACCAATAGAAGGAAGACCTTTCTCTCTGTCTCTCACTGTCTAACTCTGCCTGTAAAAAAAAAAAAAAAAAAAAAAAAAAAAAGATTTATTTTTATTTATTTGAGAGAGTTACAGAGAGAGATAGAGATAGAGATAGAGATAGAGATAGAGATAGAGATAGAGATAGAGATAGGTCTTCCACCCACTGGTTAGCACCTCAAATAGCTGCAATGGCCCAAGCTGAGCCGATTTGAAGTCAGGAGCCAGGAGCTTTCTCCGGGTCTCCCACGTCAGTCCCGTGTCATCAGTCCCACGTTGGTGCAGGGGCCCATACTCTACTGCTTTCCCAGGCCATGGCATAGAACTGGATCAGAAGAGGAGCAGCCAGGACTAGAACCAGTGCCCATATGGAAGCCCATATGGTGCTTCTGGCCAGGACTATAACCCACTGTGCCACAGCGCTGGCCCCTGGAGTCTATTTCTGAAAGCTGGTGGCTGCACGAGGATGTGTGCTCTCCAGATCATGCAGCCCTGATTGAGCTCAGGGGTAAGTTTATAAAGGCAAAAAACTCATCCTGTTGGGAGTTAATTACAAAGCCAAGTGTTGTCAGAACAAGAAAGGTGATGCTTATGTAGGAGGGCATTGAGCACATTTTCCCAGCACTGAATGTAAATAGTCCTCACAGACAACATTTTTACAAGGCTAGTTTTCGAGTAGATAGAAGTTGTGGGACTGGTTAGAAAAAGCAGAGGATAAACAGAGTCTCTAGAAGTCATCCAGAGACAAAA